TATTGAAATTGGGAAAAAATCGGTTCAGATTTAGATATAGCTCCCCTATATATTTTCGTCCGATTTACGGTATATGGTGCACCAAAGTCCCTATATATCTTTCGATTTGCACAAAATTTGGCACAGCGTACTAAATTAGGTCTACAAAGATGTGTGTTAAATTTCATGAAAATCGGTTCAGATTTAGATATAGCTCCCATATAGATTTTCATCCGATTTTAGGTAATTGGTTCAACAAAGTCTCTGAAAATTATTCGATTTGCACGAAATTTGGTACAGCGTACTAAATTAAGTCTAGAATGATGTCTGCCAAGTTTCGTGAAAATCAGTTCAGATTTAGATATAGCTCCCATATATATTTTCGTCCGATTTATGGTATATAATACACCAAAGTCTCTATATATGTTTCGAATTGCACGAAATTTGGCATGGCGTACTGAATTAAGTCTAAAATGATGTGTGCAAAGTTTCGTAAAAATCGGTTCATATTTAGATATAGCTCCCATATATAGCTTCGCCCGATTTTAGGTAAATGGTGCCCAAAAGTCCCTATATATCTTTCGATTTGCACGGAATTCGGTACATCGTTTAAAATTATGTCTAGAATGTTGTGTGCAATGTTTCGTGAAAATCGATTCAGTTTTAGATATAGCTCAAATATATATCTTCGTCCGATTTAAGGTAAATTGTGTACCAAAGTCCCTATATATCTTTTGATTTGCATGAAATTTGTATATCGTTTAAAATTATGTCTAGAATGATGTGTGCAATGTTTCGTGGAAATCGGTTCAGATTTAGATATAGCTCCCATATATAACTTCGCCCGATTTTATCTTTTATCTTTTGATTTGCACTACATTTGTCACAGCGTAATGAATAAGGTCTAGAATGATGTCTGCCAAGTTTCGTGAAAATCGGTTTAGATTTTGATATAGCTCCCATATATATTTTCGTCCGATTTAAGGCAAATGGTGCCTAAATATCTTTCGATTTGCACGAAATTTGGCACAGCGTAATGAGTTGAGTCTAGAATGATGTGTGTTAAATTTCATGAAAATCGGTTCAGATTTACATATAGCTCCCATATATTTTTTCGTCCGATTTTAGGTAAATAGTGTGCCAAAGTCCCTATATATCTTTCGATTTGCACGAATTTTGGCACAGCGTAATAAATAAGGTCTAGAATGATGTCTGCCAAGTTTAGTGAAAATCGGTTCAGATGTAGATATAGCTCCCATATATATTTTCGTCCGATTTTAGGTAAATAGTGCACCAAAGTCCCTATATATCATTCGATTTGCACGAAATTTGGTACAGCGTAATGAATAAGGTCTAGAATGATGTCTGCCAAGTTTCGTGAAAATCGGTTTAGATTTAGATATAGCTTCCATATAGATTTTCATCTGATTTTAGGTAATTGGTGCACCAAAGTCTCTGAAAATCATCCGATTTGCACGAAATTTGTCATAGCGTACTGAATTAAGGCTAGAATGACGTGTGCTAAGTTTCGTGAAAATCGGTTCAGATTTAGATATAGCTCCTGTATATATTTTTTATTGGTGCACCAAAGTCCCTATATATCTTTCGATTTGCACGAATTTTGGTATGGGGTACTAAATAAGTCTAGAATGCCAAGCTTCGTGAAAAGATCCATAGCCAGGCCGATTGACACAACGTACTGATGTAATATAAATTATGCTCTGACAAGTTTCCCTGAAATCGGTTCAGATATAGATATATAACAAAAACGCGTCGTCTGTTAGGATACATATATAGAATATACCCAAAGTGTTGAAGGGTATAATATAGTCGGCCCAGCCCGACTTTACTACTTCCCTTACTTTTTTAAAAAATATTTTTCTGGTCTACCTATAGGCTTGGATTTTTTAAAAAATATCCTTAAAAACCTGCATAAGGCCAACATTTGTTTAAAAATATTTTTAAGGATAAACAAGGATAAGGCGTGGAATTTTTAAAGAATATTTTTTCAAGGACGCTAAGTCCTTCATATTATTCATTCTACACATACAACATTTCCAAATCCCATCAAATTCGATAATCCAAAAACTAAATCCTTTACACCTTTCTTAAAATCACCTGATTCCCATCGTTGTCTTCGAATTTGTCTTCTTATCCCTGTATGCCAATTCATAGTGTAGTCAATTTGTTTGCCATTTCTCATCCAATCACACACATTAAGAGAACCGACACACACACCCACCCGTACACCTACACACTCAATTGAAACACTCTTCACAATTGGATAAAGGCAAACATAGCTCGAAAATCCGTTTCCATACCCTCTTGTGGGAGCATTTCGTTTTTCTGCGTGATTGGTATTTTGTTAGCTTTTGCCAGCTTTTGCCACAAAACTAGTTAAAAGCTTAAACGAACAGCATTACATGGATATTTTAAAATGTATAGCCAAAGAACAGGGAAGGCAGAACGAAGGTATCCCTTCTGATATGGCATATGTATCTATTTGTCTATCACTTCGCATTTGGTATCCTGTTGAAGTTGAAGATGACTGTGTGTGTGGCAGTAGATATCACTTGAAATTCGTTTTCTTGATTTTATTTCGATTTTTTGGCAACATTTTTTTGGAATTTTGTTTTTCTTAGTTGCAGTTTTCAATTGGAGAAACGCTTGTGAAGTATGTTTGAAATAGACTTGAAAATGGGCCTATGAGATATTGTTCTTGGGGAAATTGAGTCAATATTAAAAAAAAAAATTCAGGACTTACTTATTTAGCTGACATGTGACAGAACTTTCGTTCCATAAGCCTGGCTTAGAAAAGATTTCCAGACGTGTCGGTTTTTTGCGCAGTTTTTCCAATTTGAAATACCATTTTCGGCAATGTTGTCTTCGACTTGATCTTTCCATTGTATTCCCCTTCTGCGTGAACCATCAGCTTGTTCGCTTTTATATACCTTCTGGGCTGGGGCATCTTCATACACTCTCACAACGTGACCTAGCCAACGTAGTCGCTACAGCTCAATACGTCTAACAATGTCGATGTCCGAGAATAGCTGGTACAACTCATGGTTCATTCGACGGCGATATTCACCGTCAACGCAGATCGGCCCAAAGATCTTTCGGAGAATTTTTCTCTCAAACACTCCAAGAGCTGCCTCATCTGCTTGCGCAAGTACCCATGCTTCAGATCCATATAACAGCACGGCTAGTATCATCGTCTTGTAGAGTGTGAGTTTGGCCTGGCGGGAGGTGGCCTTGTTTTTGAGTTGTTTTCTCAGACCATAGTAGCACCGGTTGGTCATCACGATGCTTCTCAAAACTTCAAAACTGATGTCATTCGTTTTGTTTATGGCGTTACCAAGGTATATAAAATCTTTGACTACCTCGAAGCTGTAGTTCTCAAGTTCCACAGTTGGTCCGAATATAGTGGACGGCTTGCGCATTGATACCATTAGCTTGGTCTTCTCACCGTTTACTGCCAGACCCACTTTGGCAGACTCCTTCGCAATTTGTTCAAAGGTGCCTGTTACCGCTCTCAGTGTTCGACCCATTATGTCGATGTCATCGGCGTAGGCGAGTAACATGTGTAGTTTGGTGTACAGAGTGCCATTTCGGTTCACTTTTGCCTCTCGTATGACCTTTTCCAGTAGGATGTTAAAAAGGTCACACGATAAACTATCACCTTTTCCGAAACTGCTGATCTTGTGCCAGTTAAAGTTATCCTGCATAGCAGAATTAATTTTGGCTTCAAACACCTTTGAACGGATAAGGCTACCGAATGCGGCTTTGTAGTCGACGAATAGGTGGAATGTGTCGATGTGTTTTTCGTGGGTTCTTACCAGTATTTGGCGCAGAGTGAAAATTTGGTCAATGGTGTATTTGCCAGGTCTGAAGCCGCATTGGTATGGTCATTGACCATTGCCCGTCCACACAGTACGCTGGATAGCAATTTATATGCGATGGGAAGGAGACTTATTCCTCTATAGTTGGCACATATCGTCTTGTCTCCTTTTTTTTGTGCACGGGACACAGGATGCTGAGGTTCCAATCATTGGACATGCATACCTCTAGCCAAATTGTACTAATCAGCTGGTGCATGATCCGTACCAGCATCTGACCACCGGTCTTGAATAGTTCGGCTTGTAACCTATCGGCACCGGCTGCTTTATTATTCTTCAGCCGATTGATTGCTATTCTGACTTCATCTTGGCTAGGTGGTATATACTCTATACCGTCATCTACTATTGGTTCTGGAGTATCCTCTTCACCGCTACTATTTGATACCAGTAGTTTTTCAAAATGCACCTTCCAGATCCTCAGCACGCTGCCTGTGTCTGTCACCAGGTTTCCTTCATGATCTCCACAGGAGGATGTGCCTGCACCAAAGCCTTCGGTTTGGTGTTTTACCCGTTGGTAGAATTTTCGGACTTCATTCTGACTCCTGTACATCTCGATTTGCAAACGCTCACGTTTTTCTTGCTCTTTTTCTGAAAATACGTTTCTCCCCTCTCCTTTTTCTCCCGATAGTTCTCCATCGCATATCAAATTTACATTATTACTGACAGACAAATCTCTTCAGATGACTATCCAACCTCAAAATAATTTCCCAAAATTGAACATATCATGAATAAGACATTGAAATGCCTTACAAAAAATTTCTAATCAGTTTTCTTCGGATTACAGCTTGTCAGAGTTCTATTGCAATGACAGCAATTATGCACACATACATACTCACTAATTCTTATTCCTGTACAACATTCCTAAACGGTTGCATATTCCAGAAGAGGAAGATATTCCAGAGGAGAAATAAAATAGCTGGGCTCCACACTACCATATGCCGCATACAGTGGTGTAAAAAAGTGTGAAGGCGCAATTTTATACATAACTTGGTCTACTTTGGAATTTTTGTCATTTATTCTTTTTAAAACTTATTTCCAAATTACTTGAACTCTTCAAAAAAAAAAAAAAAAAACTCAAAAAAAAATTGCAAAACTTCGTAAAAAAACCCAATCCCTCCTTTAAAAATGCGCTATCAACCCCAAAGCAATGGCAGAATTTACACCGAACTCCAACCTCTGTGGGACCATTATCATGAACCAGCCGATTCCAAACGATCATGGAAACGTCCAATATTCCAGCAGCCACATTGCATCAATCACTGGCGTGACATTGAAGGGTCACGTTTGACGTCGGTCACGCGAAAAGATTTAATTTTTCCCAATTGGCCGAAATCACGAATTCGCCCAACGGCATGTTTGCCTCTGTACTATTGTACCGGTTATCGTTTTATACGGCTGACTAGAGCGTTCCCGGCTGGGTTCAAATGTCCACCGGTGCCGATGAGTTTGGCTGAAGCTTCAGCTGAGCGAGCCCATAATCGTCGTATGGAGAAGGAAGCGGAACGTTTGGGAAAACACAGGGCAAGGGAGGAAATTCGCAAGGTGGAGGCTGATAAGAAGAAAAAGAAAGGGAGGAAGTGATTGAAAGTATTATGAAAGGATTTTGAAATAGTGACGGATTTTGAAACATATATCCGACACTATTTCAAACATTGATAATATATTTTTTTACTTTTTCTCTTTAGTAGATTAAGTGGAATTTTGTTTTGGAGGGATGTAAAAAATAAATAACTTAATGCGAATATTTTTAAGGGCTCTCATAAGGTGTGGATTTTTCAAAGAACGTTTTTTTAAGGCGTCTTATAAGGCGTGCATTTTTATACCCTTCACCACACTGTGCTACAGGGTATTATGTCTTTATACATATGTTTGTAACAGGCAAAAGGAAACGAGATAGACATTTGGTTCCTTTTGAGAATATACATAGAATCACTTTCTGAGTCGATTTATGCATGTCCGTACGTCTGCCCGTCTGTAGATGTTAAATTGTAAACAAAATACAGGTCGCATTTATAATCCGATTTGGATGAAATTTGGCACAAGTAACTTATTTGGCCCAAGGACGAACCCTGTTGAAATTGAAGGAAATCGGTTCAGATTTAGATATAGCTCCCATATATATATTTGTCCGATTTAAGGTAAATAGTGCAATAAAATCCCCAAAGATCTTTCGATTTGCACGAAATTTGGCACAGCGCAATGAATAAGGTCTACAATGATGTGTGCAAAATTTCTTGAAAATCGGTTCAGATTTAGATATAGCTCCCGTATATAATTTTGTCCGATTTAAGGTAAATTGTATACCAAAGACCCTATATATCTTTCGATTTGCACGAAATTTAGCACAGCGTACTGAATTGCGTCTATAATAATGTGTGCAAAGTTTCGTGAAAAACGGTTCAGATTTAGATATAGCTCCCATATATGTTTGCGACCGATTTAAGGTAAATTGTGTACCAAAGTCCCTATATATTTTTCGATTTGCACGAAATTTGGCACAGCGTACTGAATTAAGTTTAGAATGATGTGTGCAAAGTTTCGTGAAAATCGGTTCAGATTTAGATATAGCTCGCATATAGATTTCCATCCGATTTAAGGTAATTGGTGCACCAAAGTCTCTGAAAATCATTCGATTTGCATGAAATTTGGCATAACGTACTGAATTGCGTCTATAATATTGTGTTCTAATTTTCATGAAAATCGGTTCAGATTTAGATATAGCACCCATATCAAAGACTCTATATATCTTTCGAATTGCACGAAATTTGGCATAGCGTACGGAAGTGCGTCTATAATAATATGTGATAAGTTTCATGGAAATCGGTTCAGATTTAGATATAGCTCGCATATATACCTTCGTCCGATTTAAGGTAATTGGTGCACCAAAGTCTCTGAAAATCATTCGATTTGCATGAAATTTGGCATAGCGTACTGAATTAAGGCTAGAATGATGTGTGCCAAGTTTCATGAAAATCGGTTCAGATTTAGATATAGCTCCCACATATAGATTTTCATCCGATTTTAGATAATTGATGCGCCAAAGTCTCTATATATCTTTCGATTTGCACGAATTTTGGTATGGGGTACTAAATTAAGTCTAGAATGCCAAGCTTCGTGAAAAGATCCATAGCTAGGCCGATTGCCACAACGTACTGAAGTAATATAAATTAGTCTCTGGCAAGTTTTCCTGGAATCGATTCAGATATTAGATATATAATAGGATACATATGTAGAATATACCCAAAGTGGTGAAGGTATCATATATTCCGCCCAGTCCGTCTTTACTACTTTCCTTGCTGTTTAAAAAAGTATTTTACCACGTCCTGCCAAGATGTGGATTTTTTAAAACATATTTTTCTACGTCCTGCCAAGACGTCAATTTTTAAAGAATATTTTTTCTAGATCTAGTAAAAAAAATATTTAAAAACCAGTGAGCGGAGCAGTATAGTCGGACGGGGCCGACCATACTTTCTGCGGATGTTTATTCCGAGCCTGAGCAATATTTCTTAATATTTGCCGCGACTTGCTCGATTAGAGGTCAACAGGACATTTTCCGAATATTATAAATATTCAGTACAGCCCTTCTAGTTACTTGTCAAGGTACCCTTCACGGTGGATTGTGTTGTAATGTTCGGCCTATATTCGACTATAAAACATACAAAAAAATAAGTTTTCGGTCCACTTCATCCCAAAATTTTATTCTGATCATCATCGAAAATTATAGGCGTTGTCCTTGACCATAATTGGAACTTCATTAAAAATTTCCGACCTCTAATGTGGTAATGGGTTACTAAATAATATCTGAATCCTTAAACACCTTTAAATATTTAAGTGTAACTTCCACTGTAAAGGTCAATCACTCCTCTTGGATATACTATCAACTTATCGGATCTATATCCTTCAGGAGTAAATATATAAGCCACAGAATTCAAATTTTGTAATTTTTCACATAAAAGTCGGAGTCCAATTGACCCTCTGCTTATGCTTATTCTTTGGCCCGATTCCCTTCTCCATGTAAAATTTCACGATGTTCGGGCCATAATTGCGGCCTCTGGAGCGACCAGAAAAACCGAAAAAATTTAGTATTTGGTCCATTTCATCACCTAAATATTAACCGATCTTTACCAAAAACAATAGGAGTCTTCATTGGCCAGAACCCATCCTACATGCAAATTTTCGTGAAGATTGGTTCATAACTGTGGCCTGTATCGTGTTTACAAATTATAATGGAAAGACGGACGGACACACATTTCTAGATCGACTCAGATAGTCGAGATATGACGATCGGTATACTTAAAGGTGGGTCTAGGACCAATATTTCGCGGCGTTACAAATTATTGGGGCTGCACGAAAATCCACGCCTTGGCAGGACGTGGAAGAATATTTATACCCTACACAACTATGTTGTATATCTTTGTTCAGCCACAAATGTTTGTAACGCCGCGAAATAGACCCACCTTTAAGTATACCGATCGTCATATCTCGACTAGCTGAGTCGATCTAGACATGTGTGTCCGTCCGTCCGTCTGTCCATTATAATTTGTAAACACGATACAGGCCACAGTTATGGACCAATCTTCACGAAATTTTGCATGTAGGATGTGTTCTGGCCAATGAAGACCCCTAAACTAAATTTTGGACCAAATACTAAATTTTTGTCGGTTTTTCTGGTCGCTCCAGAGGCCGCAACAATGGTCCGAACATCGTGAAATTTTGCATGGAGAAGCGGATCGGGCCAAAAAATAAGCATGCCTGTTTTGATAAAGATCGGTCAATATTTAGCGGTTCAAATGGACCCTGACTTTTGTGTGAAAAATGACAAAATTTGTATTCTATGGCGTATATATTTACCCCTGAAGGACATATATCCTAGAGGTTGATATTATATCCAAGAGGAGTGGTTGACCTTTAAATTAAGACCAATTATATTGTTGTACGTGCTCGGATGTGGGAGTTACACCTAAATATTTACAGGTATCTCCGTATTCGTATATTATTTAGTAACCCATTATCACTCTGGAGAGCGGAACTATAGCGCTGATCGCTTTGAAATGCTTCATGAGGTTCCAGTTATGGTCAAGGACAACGCCTATAATTTTCGGTGATGATCAGATAATAATTTTGGAATGAAGTGGACCGAAAACTTAATTTTTTGTGTTATTTTCGAGTCGATCTATAGACCTCAAATGAAAGCCGAACATCACAACACAACCCACGGTGGGAATCTGGACAATAGCTGTACTGAATGCTCGTAATATTCGGAAAATATGTCAGTGTGAGGAAGAGGTGCTGTTTACCTCTAATCGGGCAAGAGGGTGCAAATATCATGAAATATTGCCCAGTCTCGGAATAAACATCCGCAGAAAATTTGAGTTCCGTGGTAGTTGTGTAGGGTATCGTATGGTCGGCCCCGTCCGACTATACTGCTCCGCTCACTGGTTTAGAAAATATTTTTCCAGGTTCTGCCAAGGCGTGGATTTTTTAGAAAATATTTTTCCAGGTCCTGCCAAGGTGTGGATTTTTTAGAAAAAATCGTTGGTCTTTCTGCTTAAAGGACCCACAGGGGTCTATTATTTAAAATGATATATTTAATATCTTGGTGGTCTTTTGGTGACCCTTTACCTAAAAAACAGTTTCTATTTTCTTTAAAGTTTTAAGTATAAAACCTCAAAAACCTCACCTTAGAATAAAAATTACGAAGTTTACATTTTAATGCTGAATGAAGAGAAGACCCTTTAGAGGTCAATTTCTCTTGGTTTAATTTGCTTTTATGGATTACTTCTTTTTCACAGATCACCAGCAGCAACAAAATTTGTTCGTACTAATTGCATCGGTGTTGATTATACACATAGTGATTTTTTTTTACTCACCACACATCAACAAAGTATTCACCTCACGGGCTTTTTTCTAAAAAAAAAATGTGTGTGTGTATTTTTTTCAATTATTTAGTTATCATCACCAACACCACCACCAACACAAAAGTCTGTTGTGCTTTTTTTGCATTATTATGATAATTGTATGGATGACGAAGCTTTAAGAACACTTTTGTTGATGTAAACAAAAGGAACAAGAAAGAAAAGAAACAAAAACGAAAAGAAAAAAAAACACTTAAGAAAAAAAAATTACAACAACAAAATACAATATGTGACAATAAAATTTTGAAAAGAAAAAATTAAAAAAAATCAACAACTTTTGGATGTCAAGAAAAATACAACAACAACAAAAGGAAGAAATTTTGAAAAAAAAAACAAACTACACAACTCACCTGTATCTACAACAATAACAACAAAACGCACAAAAAAACAATTGTAATTTAAAAAAATTAAAAAAAAAACAACAACAAAATTATTGCGGCAGACACACCAATGAAATGCTTCACCTTAGTTCAGTGTCTCTAGATGTTTGTGTCTGTGTGTGTGTGTATTTGTGTCTCACCTGCAACAGCTAGTTTTTTTTTCATTCATAAAATTTTGAATTAATTTCTTTTTAAAAACCGCAATAAAAAACAATATCCCACAAAAACTCAACTCAACTAACCCACCACATCACAAATATCCCTTCCTTTGAAACCAAACAACCAACCAACCAGAAAATATTCCAGCACAATAAAAAAACCAAAGAAAATGCACCATTTTTGAAAAAAGCCGGATTGCAGCAAAGCAAGAAATTCACCACACTTAAGCAAAAATCCCACCACCACAACCACCATAAGTGAACCAGCACCAAACTAACCACACCAACTAACGTAAGGAGATCTCATTTTGATTTCTCCCCAGAGCTCGCTCGCTCTCTCTTTTAGTGCATCTGTGTGTGTGTGTGTTGAACTGTACATAATCACCAAACACCAAGGCAAGAGTTTTGATTTATCCTTTGTTTGTTTAAGTAAAAGCATAACGAATTTATTCACCACCACCACCACTAAGAAAAAAAAAACAGCAACACCAAAATAACCCACCACAAATCACCACCACTACCAACCAACTAGCCCTAGCAAAAAATATAAAAAAATAGAAAACGTAGTTGCCATACTGGGCCAAATTTTAGCTGGCAGCCAGACCGCCCGCCCACCATCCTTTCCAAAATCCAAAAACTTGAAACCTTTTAGCCACACCACCACCATTACCACTAGCCGCCACTAGCCACCAAACCACACCAAAACAAAACAAAAAAAAACAACATCTGGAAAACCACCACCCCACCACCTCTACCACCAATCAACCAACGAACAAACGAACCAAACCGAACCGATCATCACCACCACCACCTCTCTCTCTCTGTCTCTCTTGTTCCCCTCTGGTAATTGTTAAAAAAACGGCCGCACAATTGCACACAACTACTATCACAGATATCCGCAACGCTATTACTACCGCATGGAGCGTGGCACCGGCGGTGGTGGCCAACATCAACATCACCCGCAGCAGCATCAGCAGCAGCCACAACACCACCAGCAGCAGGCCTACTACCATCCGCACGGACACGCCACCTTTATGACAGCCGCCTCCGACGAACATATCGGTAAATCGTCATTCGACAATCCGGCCACCAAAAAGAAACCACCCAAACTGAAGGCCATCAATCGTTCCATATCGATGGCCATTGACAACTATGATGGTCCGGGTGGCGGCGGACCGTTAATGTTGGACGATTCCTCACTGATTGTCGAACAGCCGATCATACATCGATCTGCTTCGCCGGTTGCCTTACGCTCAGCACCACCACCTCAAACACTGGCCCTGCCTCAGGGCTCTATGCACGGCAGTTTTGGTGGCAGCGGCGCGGTATCACCAGCTTTGTCTTCACGCAAACACCATTCGCAGCACAGTTTTGCCCAAATGGCGGCCCAGGCCCGCCAGTTCAGCCAGCAACAGTCCCACTCCAGTTCGACCAGTTCGCCCATTGGCCATGGGGCCGTCAGTCCGCTGATGGGCAGCAGTGGTAGGTTGGGTGGCGGTGGTGTTGGTGGTGATGGGGGCGCCAGTGGCGGCGGGTATCCATCCACCGCTTCGCATGCTTACCAACAACAACACCAACATTCCCAACATCAGCCCGACATTTATCTGGTTAGCAGTAGTAGCCTGGTGGACGATGTCGGTGGCCGTATGGGCGGCTCCTCGGCCTCGCCCATACAGTTCATCGACGACTATCTGTTGCCACCGTCACATCGTCAGCAGCAGCATCAGCAACAACAACAGCATGCCACACACCCTTTGAAAAAATCTCAATTTCGTCGATCTGACACAATCGATATACATCCGGCTTCTACTTTTCAGATGAAGAAGACGCATTCGTTTCATGCGCCGCACGACCCCTCGGAGGCCATCATGGATCCGCTGCTTCTGAGTGCCGGCGGCCAGCCCACCTCCGCCTCGTCGTCGCGTCGCACCAGCTCGGTGCGGGGGAATTTCCTAATGCCCGGCCACGCGGGCACCAAAGAACTGAGTCGCTCTCCCTCGCCCAGTCGGAGGGGGGCGAAATCGCATCGATCCCTGCACGATCCCCAGCGTCGGCCCAGTGCCAAACCGGAATCGATAATCGATTCTCAGATACGCCACCCTTCGTTGAATGATGATCTCTTGGAGCCGGTCGATGCCAGATCGGCCGGTCTGCTGGCACCCACCAATCTCTCGCTGGAGAATGAGCTGTTCATCGAGTCAAGGTCGCGCAGTAACAGTCACACGAAAATGGAAGATGTCGGTCTGGCCGAACGCATATCAATGCGCAAAACTTCCGGCTCCTTTGAGGATCCCAGCAGCACACATGGAGCCCCCGCAGCGGTTGTGGCCACAAGTTCCCTCAAGAAACGTGACCACTCGCATTCATCGCGACAACACAGCACCCACAGCTTGGAGCTGGATGGCCGACCCTCGACCTCAGCGGCCGCAGCAGCGGCGGCTGCCGGTGGTACCCATTCCACTTTGCATTTACACAGTGCCGCGGCCGCCGCCACGGCAGCATATCATTTTAAACGTGGCCGTGAACACGGACGTTCCCTCTACCTATCGCCCAACAATTTGGAGGAGGTCCAGGTCCATCATCGCCCAGCGGTGTTGGCAGCAGCCGCAGCCTTTGGCGGCACCAATGCCAGTGCAGCGACCAGCATCAAACAGGCCAAGGCGCTGCACAGTGCCAGCATGCGGCTGCGTACCTATCGTGAATCGCTGAGTGCTACGAAAAAATCGAAAAGCTTTATTGGCGACAGTACCTACCCACCACCACTGGTTAGTGTGTCCAATGAATTTGTGGCCCTGACCTCACCCCACCGACGGAATAGTGGTCGCGCCCTGGCCAGTGCCACTAGCTCAGGCGGAGCAGCCACACTGGAGGAAATAAAACGTAGTCCCAGGCCGGTATCGTTGGGCGCCTCCACCTCGCCGGCGGGGACAGTGACCACAGCATTTATGGAAGAGAAAAGGCCCTCGTTCGAAAGGAAGTCCTCCATGACTTATGAACTGGGAGATGCCGCCTTTGAACAGGTTCTCAGGCCATTTCATCACAAGGCGGCCTCGGGCATTGGAACACGTAAATGATGAAAACCAAATTAACCACACAAACACAATAAAAATTCACCCCTCCTTCTCTCTATTGCAGATGAAGCCGACGACGAAGAGGAGGCCGATCGCAAACGTAAACGCATAGTCTGCATCGTAATGACGGTGTTTCTGTGTCTGGTCTGTGCCGCCGTTTTTGTGGTCATCATGACACTGACCCATTCGTCGGGTCAGTCGCACTATGGCACGCATGGTCATCATGGCCTGACGAAAAAGATCAACACCTATAATCGAGATGTACCGGTACACTATAATGGTATGGAGGACAGAAATAAAAAAAAATATAGTTTATTTTTATTTCCCCGGTCCCGTGAAATAAGATGGCATCCTTGGTATAGGCCCCAATCAATTATCCTTTGTTTTCGTTCGCTATTTTTTTAAATCCTTTTTCATTGTCCGCCATTATGGCTGTTCTGGTTTCTTCCTTGCCTAGACCCAACCCTGCATTTGATTGATGATGTCGAACATTGAAATTGATTGAAAGCTCCATGTAATGTGGCAACTGCCAACAACAACAACTCAGCACACACAAAAGAAACGCCTTTGTTTTAGTAGCAGGTCAGCCGAAAACAACAACAACAACAGCATTATTCGCAATGTTTGACATCCGGAACGTCGAATGTCATTTTCCAAACGATTGAATGTACCCTGCACACAGTGAGAGGAACAGTGTGAGGGGAGTTGTGTATTGGTGACCTACTTCGAGGATAGGTGACTTCTATTGAAGTTCTAAATACAAAAGGCGTGGATTTTTTAAAGAATATTTTTTCGGACTAAGGTCCTTCCAAGGCGTGGATTTTTTAAAGTTTACTTTTTCAAGGTCCTCCCAAGGCGTGGATTTTTTAAAGATTAGTTTTTCAAGGTCCTCCCAAGGCGTGGATTTTTTAAAGATTACCTTTTCAAGGTCCTCCCAGGGCGTGGATTTTTTAAAGATTAGTTTTTCAAGATCCTCCCAAGGCGTGGATTTTTTAAAGATTAGTTTTTCAAGATCCTCCCAAGGCGTGGATTTTTTAGTTTTTCAAGGTCCTCCCAAGGCGTGGATTTTTTAAAGATTAGTTTTTCAAGATCCTCCCAAGGCGTGGATTTTTTAAAGATTAGTTTTTCAAGATCCTCCCAAGGCGTGGATTTTTTAAAGATTAGTTTTTCAAGGTCCTCCCAAGGCGTGGATTTTTTAAAGATTAGTTTTTCAAGATCCTCCCAAGGCGTGGATTTTTTAAAGATTAGTTTTTCAAGGTCCTCCCAAGGCGTGGATTTTTTAAAGATTAGTTTTTCAAGATCCTCCCAAGGCGTGGATTTTTTAAAGATTAGTTTTTCAAGGTACTCCCAAGGCGTGGATTTTTTAAAGATTAGTTTTATGTTTCTGGAGAAACTGTCTGGGGTCTTCTATCTCTAGAAGATCGGTCAGAGATATTATATTCATAGAATATCTCCCTGGGTTATTCATCTACAGAAGGCCTGTCAGTGGTGCTCTATTTGGATTATGTCACCTTCAGAGACCCTTCAAGCAAGACCTATACAAGGATTTTTAGGTTCTCTCAAAGGCCAATAGAAGAAATGATGTCCTCTAAAATATATCTTTGGGAGTTCTTCTATTTCTGATAGATCTCTAGGATGACGTTACTCAATAGAATATATAGAGGTATATAAAAAATGGAAGAATTATAGAAGCACTTCTTTAGAAAGAGGTCCTATAAACAATTATTTTGTCCTCCCAAAAGCCTATAGAAGGTCTGCTGTCCTCTAAAATATGCCTTTGGAAGTTCTTCTATATCTGACAGATCTCTAGGACATATTCCGTGGAAGGCCTATAGAAGCCCTTCTGTCAATAAACGGCCTAGAGGAGATCTCTTATCAATAGATGACCTATGGAACCAATAATAGAAGACCATTATTTATTTTTTCGAGTATTCTTTGTATACTTCCCGCATTCTTTCCTGTCTCATCCCTCAAAATTGTGTTGAACTTTTTGCCTCACAACTTCTTTTCCATCGATTTGAAAAATGACTTACGTAAATTCTTATGTTCGACAATGAAAATTCTTTGCAACTCCCCAATCGGACTGTCAAAGAAAATTGTGAACTTTTCTGCCAGGCTGATGGCCAACTCAACCTAGACCTGCCATCTTATTTCCCAGGTCAACATATTTCGATTTTCTGTGTGTTTTCAGTTCAAATTTTTTGTTTTTTTGCATTTTTTTTCCACCGAATTGCACTTCCAATGCAATCCTAGTGAGTGTACACAAGTGTATGAGTGTGAGTGATGTTTGTTCGGAACAAAGTGCAGAGAGAAAAAAAATAAAAAAACTCTCAAAAACGTTTATCAAAACGGACGTGAGCCCTCTCGGAGTTAGGGTTTTTCGCAAGCTCAAATATGTAAAATGTTTGTGTGTTCCTAACGTGCACTCGGTCATTTTTGGTCGGTAGTACATTTAGTCGTTCGTCCCGTTACTCGTTCGTGTATGTCAATTTGATGATACGTGTAATGGCTACTTTTGAAAATTTTTTCCTCCCAAAGAACCAAAAAAAAAGGAAAACAAACATCGGCAGCAGCCTGAATGAATGAAGTTAAGTCATCCAAAACGGAAGATAAATGAGAAATAGTTGAAAGTACGAAATAAAAATAAAAGAAAATAGTCAGGGTGTGCCAAATGATGGTAAAGTGATGAAAAATAAATAACAACAAGGAATGAAAAGTGAATATAGTGTTCTTTAAAAATAGTGCAAGTGTTGTGGTGAGTGCAGAAACAAATTGTAATGGTTTCTTGAAATGCAACAAAGTTTAATTTTGTCTTTAATAAGCCTAAAAGTATGCTTCATATATCTATAACATTTTGGTAGAAAGATTTTACACCGAAATATAATCTAAAATATCAAATTGCAGCCCATTCGGAAACTACTCCGAAACTTGAGCCATTACATGGGATTTTCAACGTCTTAAAATTGTTTTCAGCAATCACCTGCTAATGGCCATAACTTTGAAAATTTACAACCGATTTCTATAAAATAACTTGATTCCGCTTAAGAAATGTCTCTTCTATAATTTCTTTTCGAATCACATTCATATAGCTCAGCAAATTTTCAAGATATCGTTTAAATGTGAAAGCTACCGAAATACTGTATATCTAATCATGTTTTTGCGTATTTGATTTAGGGGTCATAACTTTGAAAATTCTTTATCGATATTAATGGAAAAGGCTTTTCAGAATAGTCAGGGAAATATACTCTAAATTATATCCAAAATATGTTTATATAGAACCTCAAACATCGGAGCTATAGCCCTATGAAAATAAAAATACATCGCATTTTCAACGTCTGGATTTTTTTTTTCAGTAATCACTTTCAGATGACCATAACTTTGAAAATTTTCAACCGATTTCTATGAAATAACTTGATTCCGATTAAGAAACATCTCTTCTATAATTTCTTTTCGAGTGATATTCATATAGCTCAGCAAATTTTTAAGATATCATTTAAATATGAAAGCTACCGAAATACAGTATTTTTATCATATATTTGCGTATCTGCTTTAAGGGGTCATAACTTTTGAACTCCATGATGGATGTTAATGAAAAAGACTTTTTAGAAAAGCCAAGGAAATATCCTGCAAATTATATCCACAATATTTTTATATAGAACCACATATAACAGAGTTGTAGCCCTATGAAAATAAAATTACTTTGCATTTTCAACGTCTTGAAAAAAATTCTAGTAATCACTTTTGATGATCACAACTTTTAAAATTTCCAACCGATTTCTATGAAATAACTTGATATAGATTAAAAAACATCTCTTCTATAATTTCTTTTCGAGTCATATTCATATAGCTCAGCAAATTTTCAAGATATCATTTAAATATGCAAGTTACCGAAATACTGTATATCTAAGCATGTTTTTGCGTATTTGCTTTAAGGGACCATAACTTTGGAACTTCTTGATGGATATTAAAGAAAAGTTTTTTTTTGAAAAGCCAACAAAATATACTGCAAATTATATTCACAATACTTTTATATAGAACCCCAAATCTCGGAGCTATAGCCCTATGAAAATAAAAATACATGACATTTTCAACGTCTGGAAATTTTTTTCAGTAATCACTTTCAGATGACCATAACTTTGAAAATTTACAACCGATTGCTATGAAATAACTTGATTCCGATTAAGAAACATACCTTCTATAAATTCTCTTCGAGTCTTATTAATATAGCTCACCAAATTTTCAAGTTATCATTTAAATGTGAAAGTTACCGAAATACCAAATTATCGACCATGTTTTTTCGTATCTGCTTTATGGAGTCATAGCTATGGAACTTCTTGATGGATATTAATAAAAAGGGCTTTTAAAAAAAGCCACGGAAATATACTTTAAATGATATTCCCAATATTTTTATGTAGAACCAAAAATATCGGAGATATAGCCCTATGAATTTAAAAATACATGGCATTTTCAACGTCTGGAAATTTTTTTCAGTAATCACTTTCTGATGACAATAACTTTGAAAATATACAACCAATTTCTATGAAATAACTTGATTCCGATTAAGAAACATTTCTTCTATAAGTTATTTTCGAATTATATTTTTATAGCATTGCAAATTTTTAAGATATTGCTCAAAATTTGGAAAATACTAATAATGCTTACTAGTATTTTTCTTCCTTTTGCATAAAACATATTGCCAAATATCTGCATTCAAGTTAGACTAATGTGTTTCGCGTTGCCAATTATATTCAGTTGAGCGGTTCCCTAAAAATTTTAAATTATTTTAAAAATTCTGCAATTATAACTTTAGCCTAAAAGTATGCAATTTAATTGGACTCAAATGAAGAAAATGAATAATATTATTTTAATTTCAGGATAAAACTTAAGGATAAGGATAAAACGTATGCAATATATATATATATATATATATTATTTTTCTAATGAAATTTATATCTTTTATTTTCACTACTTATTACCTTCAATTAAATTTAATCCCTAAAAGTATGCAATATAGAGCAAAAATATTTATTTTTCCATTTAAGTAATTAAAAACGTTTCAAATGAATTTAGACACATATATATTGAAATTAAATAATAATTCGTTTAATGAAAAATGCAACATATTTCAATTTACCAACTAAGATGCTCTCCTAAAAGTATGCACTTAAATTAAATTCATTTTTTTATTTAATAAGAAAATATTAAGATTTATATTTTTTCAATTCCAAGGTGTTATTAAAACATAGCTTCAATATTTCAACCCCTAATCTTCATGCTTTA